TATGCTTTTAAAAAGAATCGTGGAATGTTCAATGAGACTTTATGAAATTGACATACAATTTCTTCTCAATATAAAGATCTTTCTTCTACATAGATGAGTGTCACTGGTTTCTCTAGACAGTGCAGCCTCCTACACACACCAAAGTGTTTATCCTGGAGAGGTGAAAATGCACATTTGCATAAAACCTGTACACAGAGGCAACAGCTCTTTTTATAATTGCCCCAAACTGGAAATGAGTCGGTGTTCTTTAGCTGGGGGATGGAGGAACAAGGCTTTAGAAGCATCATACAATGAAATGCTGCCCTGCAATAAGAGAACACCAAATATTAATACATACCACACCTTGGTGGAATGCCTAAAAGAAGCCAGTCTCAAAAAATTACACCAGTGTGATTTCATTTATCTGTAAACCTTGAGAAAAATAAAATTTAATGGCCAAGCCCTCAGATCAGCGGTTGGGAGGACCAGGGTTGAGGGAGAAAGGGAAGATTTGTACAGAACATGTTGGAACTGTTCTGCATCCTGAGGGGGTGACGGTGGCTCTAGTCTACATGTGCGCGTTATGAATTGGGCTGCTAACCACGAGGTCCCTGCTTTGAAACCAGCAGCCGCTCGACAGGAAACAGCTAAGGCTTTCCATTCCCATAAAGGGTTCGTCTCAGAAACCCACTCAGAAAGCTCTACTCTTTGTTAGAGGGGTGCTGACAGTTGGAATCACCCAACGGCAGTGAGTTTGTTTGGACACGTGCTAATGCAAAAAAAGAGGGTTTGTTTGTTTGGTTTTTGCATATTAATTTAAGTCTAAAAGAGATATCCCTCTGTAGACACCAGCAGATCACAGTCTTTCAGACCAGCTACCAGTCCTTCATAGGAGTCGTGGTGGTGTAGTGGCTGCTCACCCCAAGGTCAGCAGTTCGAAATGACCAGCCACTCTGTGGGTGAAAGGGGCATTTTATTCCCACGAAGCGTTACAGTCCTGGAAACCCACAGGGCAGTTCTACTCTGACCCAGGGGCTGGCTAGGAATCAGAATTAATTCACTTGATGGCAGTGAGTTTTGGGACAAGTCCTTCACATAAAACAGAGAATCTTTCCAGCTGAAAATCTACACCGGTAATCTGCATCCCCAAACACGTTGAAGCCCCTTCCTAGAAATTGTTTCAAAGCAGAAGATCTTACTCCAACAGGATCAAGAATGAGTCTGTACATTATACGTCGGGTTTTCTGAGTAAAGTGTATGGCCAGAATTTGAACCTGTAGTTCTCGGAAATGTACATATGCCATCCTTTAAAAATGAGCTGTGTGTGTGGTGGTGTTTCTTCCATTGATCTAGAAAGACCTATCAGTCCCTGGTGGGCTCATGAGGATAGGACTTTTCTGTTTTCAGCCCCGCTGTCCAAGAGAGCCAACAGCCAGCAAGTCAACGGGCCTGACTATGTGTGTCTTTTCAGTTCTCATTCCCAGCTTGCAAGTTTAACGTGCAGAAGAGCAAAGAGGGAACGGGGAGGGTGGTGATGTGGAGAATGGGGATCAGGAACAGCTTCACCATGGAGGCCACTTTCTGCGGCTCGACTCTGGGTAAGAAGAGGCCTCGTTGCAGCCGCCCATGCTTCAAACCAGTGCTCTCCTTCCAAGGTTGAAGTGTAGACAGTTTAGTGGGAAGCATCCTCCTTCCCCGTAAATAATACCATTGATCCCCAACCAAGTCTGGAAATACAATGGATAAACTCCCACCGTCTGATGGCTATTTCATCATTTATTTTGTTTAGAAAGGGATGTTTTAGCAGGTGCAGACAGTCCCTGGGTTACCAACTAATGTACAACCTATAGTTAGGAACCAGCACCCAGGCCCTCACCACCATCAAGCCTGTTTTAATTTTTTAAAAACCGAGGTACATACATTGGTTCGTAATAACAAGCAGGCATTACTTCGCCCAACATTGACCAAATGACAGTAGCTGTGAACCATCCCCAAATGTTCCAGTTTAAAGACAGATTTGGGGATGGAACCTCGTTTGTAAACCAGGGGCTACAGGTATATAGGATACTATCCTCTAACAGGTTTCATGAATTAACCTTTCCTTGTTTTAGTTTTTTAATGGGTTCCTACAGATGACACTAATGATTTAAAACAAAACAAAAACAAACAATGCCCCTACTTAAAACATCAAGTAGAAATATGGTTCATGGATTTGCTCTTTGCAATGCAAATGAGAGCCTGATTCTTTGATAGACTTTTACTTAAATGAAAGCAATTGACTCCCTGAATGAAAAATAAAGTATATTTGTGATCTCGGGTAAGATATCTTGGAGTTACGCCTAGCATATCTCAAGAAGTTAGGAAACTATATTAAGATGAACCCCATCTTATCAAAAAATGTATTGACTCAAAGGAAAATACTAGAAAATCACGTAGATAATTTCTGTCCCCCTTTTTTTTAAAAAAAAGCCCCCCAAACTGCTTTGAAACCACTGCAAGATTATCCATGATGACGCAAACATTTTTTAAAAGTTCAATCTTTACCCAAGCTTTGCTCAAAGGAATTCCTTGGACTATTTCCAACTGATAATGGATAGACTTATAGTGGTTATGCTTTGGGCTGCATTCCGCTGGGCTGGCAGTTCAAAACCACCAGCTGTCCCATGGGTGAAGATGGCTCTTTCTACTCCAGCCACCAGTTATAACGGTCTCAGAAACTCACAGAGGCAGTTCGACCCTGTGCTATAGGGAGGTAGTGGGGTGAGAACCCAAGTTACGTCGTTTGATGGGGATGATGGCGGAGGAGCGAGAGAAGGTGCTCGGGTGTTGGATAACCTGCCCCCAGGAAGGGAAGCAAACGGAGAGGGCATTTAGTCGTATCAGAAGTCTACGTCTATTCTCTGGTTTATAACGTGGGGGCGGGGGCGGGGTGGTGATGGCCATGTGGCGGTCACGGTGAATCAACATCTTGATGTTTCAGGTTATAAACGAGGCACTCATTTCAATACCAAAGACCTGGAGTCAATGGGATATCATTTTTGTGATTCTCTCCTGGACTACTGTGACCCGGACCGAACCAAGGTAAACCAAGTCCATTTAGGTGCATGTTGCCTGCGGACCTTCAGCAGTTTCTTCCTCTTACGGAATTTGGGGGGTGTTGGAATTTGGTCAAGGAGCCCTGCTGGCATACTCGTTACGAGTTGGACTGCTAACCATAAGATCAGCAGTTTGAAACCACCAGCTGCTCCGAGAGAGAAAGATGAGGCTCGCTCCTCCAGCAAAGCATTCGTCTCAGAAACTCACAGAGGCAGGTCTACCCTGTCGGGTCGGGTCGCGTCGCTGTGTATTGGAATCTGATTGATGGCACTGAGTGGAAAGGAGCTTTGTAAAGGGCTCTCGTCTAGCAGCGGTTGGTGTTCAGCTACCAACCACAAGGCCAGTGGTTCTCTGTGGGGAAAGATGCAGCAGTCTGCCCCATAAACAGTATGGCCTTGACCACCTGAGAGGGCAGTTCAGCTCTGTCTCAGAGGTGTGCTCTGAGTCAGTATCATCTTGATGATCATGGGTACTTGATGTCCCAAAGCTTTTGTTCCAAGTGCCTGTAAGCATTCCATTGGCTTGACGAGGAAGTGTTTATATAAATGGACTCATGTGTGATTTTTGTCTAGTATTTTCAGTGCCTGAAAGAATTGGAGGAAATGGAGAAGCATATGAACTTAGAAAAAATCATTGATGATTCAGATACATCTCTATTAGAAATTTCAATGGATCTAGAGTCGAGGTAAGTCAGGACTGCGGAAATGATATAATGTGTTATCCTGTTTTATGCATTTTATAATACTAATATTACAAAGCGGTTATTAATTTCACCAGTGGGGGAAATTTTTCTTCCACAAACATTAGTTGGGCCAGACTTCAGTGAGACGTTTGATTCATTCCTTCAAGCAGGGTTCTTGAGACGCTATGAGGTGCAGTTGTGCTGTAAGACATTCTCAAGGTTGCTCCTATGATTCCCTTATTCACTGAGTACGGCTAGATAGGGTCTGCATAGATGACACTTAATTGCTGTAAGTTAGTGTACAGTTAAGTGCAAAAGGAAATGCCGAGAGAGGATTGTTGGAGGAGGAGAGTACACTCCTTCTAAGAAGGACACAATCAGTGGTTGCTCCTTCTTCCCCTTGACTCAGACATTTTTCAGCTGCCAGCAGCGACCTTGGCACCCCAGTGCTGAATCGTGCTATGTTTGCAGAGGAAGAGCATCGTTTTATTGTTCACACTTGATGTGTGCCCACCAGCTCCAGCCTCTGTTCTAATGTTCACATGTCCCCTTGCTGGGCACTGAGCTGCCTTCTGCCTTTATTGCAACCTTTGTTGCTGTCTGTGGTAGATTTCAGCCACCGTGAAATGTTCTAGGCTCTGAAACATTCTTTCCTGTCTTATCAAGTTGAAAGCAGATACTGTTTTATTCATTTACCAGATTGCAAAAATAATCGTGGTAGACGCCCGAGTTCATCTTTCTAATAGGCCTTGATTTGGTCTTCCCTGTCAGCCTCTCCATCTTCTCTGCCTGCAGTGTAACCCACCTGCATCATTTCTCCCCCAGGCTTCCTCTGCACTCATGCGTCCCCGTGCATGTGCAGAAATTGAAAATGCCCTTAAAAAAAGACTGAAAAAAACAACATCTTTATTTCTGGAGACTTGAAAGCCGTCTTGTGAATTGGTTCCCAATTCATGTAGATGCCTACTCACTTTATCCCATAATATACCCAGAATATTGCTACCAACAGAATGCCTATTGGATATAGTTTAAGATAACTTTGTAATTCTTTTTAGTTTTAGTCTGTATCCCATCTGGGATATACAGTCAGATTCTCCTTTTTTTTTTTTTTAATCATTTTATTGGAGGCTCATACAGCTCTTATCACAGTACATCCATGGTGTCAAGCACATTTGCACATTTGTTACCATCATCATTTTCAAAATATTTTCTTTCTCTTTGAGCTCTTGGTATCAGCTCCTCATTTCCCCCCTCCCTCCCCCACCCTCCCTCCCTCCCAAACCCTTGATAATTTATAAATTATTGTTTTTCCATGTCTTACACTGACCGATGTCCCCCTTCACCCACTTTTCTGTTGTCCGTCCCCCAGGGAGGGGTCAGAGGTAGCTCATGGTGCAGATTCTCCTGTACAGGAATCAAAGAGGAAAGGGAACCACTCTGTCTGGGGAGAGAGACTTTCCCCCTTCTGGTTATTCTTACAGTCTTCCAATTATATAAAACATTACGTGATAGGAAGTTTAAAACCATAGAGCAAAGACTATTCACAGGGGTCTTGATTCCTTGTCCACCACCCCACCCCCAGCACACACACACACACCTCAAATCCCTCCTCACTTCTTCTCATGCCCTGTGGGCTACCATTTTCATTAGTTCTTTTGTTAATCCTTTCATTGTTTACTTTTGACTAAGGGAGTGGGCAGCCACATCCGTTATACGATCCTTATGTAAAATAGCACACATTGTTTGTAACTGGCTTTTTCTACTTACGATGGTACGAAAATCAATATCTATTATCTATACAGAGATATTCTCCTGATTTCTACCTCGTACTCTGAGGTATAGATGTACTATGGTTTCCTCAAGGGTTTGTCAAATCTCTATTGACAAGCACTTGAAAGTCACTTTGTTTTAAATGTGGCTTTAAAGCAGAAAGTTTGTTACTGTTAGTCTACCCTGACCCCAAATGGCCCTATGTATAATCTACTTAGAACAGGGAACAAACACTTCCCACCTCCCGCACATTCTTACAATCATGGCTGTTTTGGAGGCCACTGTTGCCGCCACTGGGTCAACACATCTCGTTGAGGGTCTTCCTCTATTTTTTGCTGACCCTCTACTTGACCACGCATGATGGCCTTCCTCCGGCACTGGTCTCTCCTGACAAGCCGTCCACAGTACATGAGACAAAGTCTCACCATCCTCCCTTCTAAGGAGCATGCTGGCTGTACTTCTTCAATGCTGACTTGTTTATGAGTCTGGTGGCCGCCGTCCATGGTATATCGAATATTCTTCCCCAGCACCATTACTCAAAGGCATCGAGTCTTTCTCTGCCTTCTTTCTTCACTGTCCACCTCTCCCAGGCATAGGAAGCAACTGAGAACGCCGTGGCTTAGGTCCGGTGGAGCGCAGCCTTCAAAGTGCTTTCTTAGCTTTGTATCACTTCAAAGAGGGCTTTTGCAGCCGATTTTCCCAGTGCAATCCACTGTCTCTCCAATGGGTGTGGACTTTGCATCAAATAGATCAGGATTTAAAACCCATTAGGGTTTTAATCTTAATAAATGCTCAGGTTTGCCAGGCATGCATGTCCCGTTTATTGCAAGGTAGTTGTGGCAAGGTGTTCGAATAAGACTTCAAGGCATTCACGTAGCATTGAAGACTCAGAAGTGATCATTACACTGTTGGTTTAAATGGTTGAGTCCAAATCTGGAGACCTTTCATGAGCAGTCTCAGAATTTAAGAGTGGGTGATACTCCCAAGCCCTGAGAAATGCCCAAATGGAGTATTCATTCGTTCACTTATTGACCAGTGTGCTTAAATGCCTAGTATGTGGCTGACACTGTCTTCACTCTGGCGATACAGCAGTGAGTCAGATATGAAAACATCCATGTCTCCAAAGCTTGTACCCCACTGACAGGGCCGCCTGGCCCTCCTTCTCCATGCACTCAGCCAGGGGAACTCTACTTCTAAGTCCTCTGGAACAACTAGACACTCAAACTTCCTTTGCCAACAACCTTCTTCATCTTCTAAGAACTATTTCTACCAGTTCAATGTGATTTTTTTTTAATGGTTTTAAGTCAAAGAAACAGTTGACATTTGAAAATGCTACCAAAACATACTGTAAACTAATTTTTTTTTTTTCAGTAGCCGAGGCTCTGACACTTCAGAATCCAACGACTCTCAGTCTTATGTTCTCAAGTTAACCCCTCAGGTATGACTGAACCTCTCTGCTCATGGTCTATCTCCACTGCTAGCAAGTCAACCGCAACCCAGAGTCACCCTACCATGCAGAGTAGAATTGCTCCTTAGGGTTCTTGAGACTGTTGATCTTGACAGAAGGAAGGAGCAACACTGATGGGTTTGAGCCACGAAGCTTGTGGTTCACAGTCCAGTATGTAACCCACTAAGCCACCAGGGCTCCTGGTTTAGAGTATAAGCAGAACTAACTTTTCTTCTGCTGCTTAGGGTATAGAGGCATGCTTAGTCAATACTCTGCTTCTTTTTTTTTCCCCTTCAAATCATTTTATTGGGGCCTCTTACAGCTCTCATAACATTCCATACATAATTGAGATGCTCTTCTTATTGTGACTGACAAGGCAACAACAAAAACGTTTGTAGTGATGTAGTTATTCTGAGAGACAATAACTTCATTTAACAACTGTAATTTGTTTTGTTAATTATTACTAATATAATACCAACATAGATATTAACCGTGGCATTTATTTAACAACAATTATTAGAAGACCAATACCATTTACAATGACTGCCCAAAAGAAAAAATATTTAGGGGAAAAAAAGTCTCACCAGAGAAACAAAAAGAGCTATACAAAGAGAACTACAAAGCAATCCTACAGGAAGCCAAAAGAGGCTTTACAATCTACTCTGATCCCGAATTTTAAAAACTAAGTAAATTCACTGCCGTTGCGGGACAGGGTGGAACTGCCCCCGTGAGTTTCCCAGACTGTAACTGTCTACAGACATCGAAAGCCCCGTTCTTCCCCTGTGGGCTGGTTGGTGAGTTTGATCTGTTTGCCTTGTAGTTAGCAGACCAACTTGTGACCACGGTGCCACCAGGGCTCCTTGATAGGTAGACTAAATGTAGTGAAAACATCCGTAATACCAAAAACATTTTACAAGTTCAAAGCAATTCCTATTCAAATCCCAGCACAATTCCTCAAAGTGGAAAAACTAATCACCAATGTTATATAAAAAGGAAAGAGCCCCAGTATTTTAAAAAAAGCACTATTAAAAAACAAAGTAGGAGGTTTTTCACTCCCAGGCTTTTAAACCTTTTCTATAATCATGGTAATCAAAATAGCCTAGTACTGATCCATTGATAGACATGAAGATCAACGGATTAGAATTGAATCAGAAATACAACCAAGTACCTATAGATGCTAGCATTTTTGTTTGTTTGTCTTGTTTTTAAAGATCATTTTATTGGAGGCTCTTACAGCTCTTATAATGATCCATACATCAATTGCATCAAGCACATTTGTACATTGTTGTCATCATTTTGTAAACGTTTACTTTCTATTTGAGTCCTTGGAATCAGCTCCTCGCCCCCCTCCCCTCCCACCCTCGTGACCACACTTGATAAATTATAAATTATTTTTATTTTCATTTCTTACACTGACCACTGTCTCCCTTATCCCAGGGTTTCTGTTGTTCGTCCCTCTGGGTGGGTGTGGGTAGTGACGTTGTGTGTCCATCATTGTGGTCAGTCAATTTCCCCTTCCTCCCTTCATATCCCTACCTTCCCCCTACTCTCCTGGTATCCCTACGCCCATTTCTGTTCCTGATGGGATTATCTGACCTGGATTCCATGTGTTGTGAGCTCTTCTCTGTACCTGTGTACATGCTCCAGTTTAGCCCACAGTGAAAGGCAGGACTGGGGTCATGATAGTAGGGGGTGAGGAACCAGAGGAATGTTGTGTGTTTCATCAGTGCTCTACTGCGCCCTGGTTGACTCATGCCTTACTTGTGACCCTTCTGTGAGGGGATGTCCCACTGTCTACAGATGGTTTTTGGACCTCTGCTCTAACCCCTCCCTCCACCAACCTCATTCTCAACAATATGTTTTTTGTTTGCTTGTGGTCTTCTGATGCCTGTTACCTGATTCCATCAACACCTCATGATCACACCAGCGGGTGTGCTTCTTCCATGTGGGCTTGTTGCTTCTCTGCTAGATGGCTGCTTGTTTAACTTCAAGTCTTTAAGACCCCAGCCGCTATATGTTTTGATAGCAGGACACCATCAGCTTTCTTCACATTTGCTTGTGCACACTTGAATTTTGATAAAGGACTAAAACACATTAAGTGGGGAAGAGGTATCCTTTTCAATAAATGGTGCTGGAAATGTCAGCTATCCACTCACAAAAGAATGAAGCATAACCCATACCTCATGTACAAAAATGGACACAAAATGGATAAAAGACCTAAATATAAACCCTAGAACCATAAAGACCATCAATTAAAAAGTAGAGTACACATGTAAAGACCCTAATATAAGGCCTAAATACACTACTGAATATAATGAAAAATATTCACACTATAGAAGACAAAATAAAGGACTGGGACAGTCAAGAAAATATGACATTAATGCACATCAAAAGATTTCACCAACAGAACCAACAGATTGGGGAAGATATTTAATAATGACACATCAGATAAAGGACTAATTTTAAAAATCTATATAAAACTACAACATCTTAACATGAAAAATACAAATAGCCTAATCAAAAATGGGCACAGGACATGAATAGACAGCTTACTAAAGATGCCATCCAGGCAGCCAACTGCCATATGATTAAATGTTCATGTTCATTAGCAATAAAAGAAATACAAATTAAAACAATGAGATACCACTTCATACTGACATTCTTAGCACACACAAAAAAGCAATAAGTGCTGGAGAGGATGACGAGAGACTGGCATACTTATACATTGCTGGTGGGACTGTAGAACTGTACCACCCCTATGGAAACCAGCATGGCACTTCCTTACACAAATGCAAATACCATTACTTTATGATCCTGCAATGTCTACTGGGTATGCACTCTAAAGAAATAAAGAGCACAACAGGAGCAGACATGTGCATACTTGTGTTTGCTTCAGCAATTTCCATAATAGCACAAACATGGAAGCAACCAAAAGATTCTAATTATAGCGGAATGGACAAACAAATGCTGATATATTGATACAATAGAATATTATGCATCCATGAAACACCATCAACGCTGTCAAACACCACACACTAGAGAACACTGGGCTTAGTAAAGTTAGTCAGTCTTACAAAGATAACTTTGATAATAGCATTATTGTAAGGAGAAACAAAGAAAAATGGGTTTCACACCAAAGGATAAGACATTGAAGACTACCAGGAAGTCAGGAACATGGGGTGAGGGAAGTGAAGGGGAGGGCAGGGGCAGGGCATTATGGAGGGAAGGAAGGAGAGGAGGAGGAAGGGAGAGAAAGAGCACATGTATGGGGCCTTAACAGGATGCTATTCATGATTGGATTTGATGAGACGGGCTATGCAACTACTCTGAATGTTTTTCTTTAAAAACAAAAATAATTCCTCCCCCTCAGATTCCCACATTGGTCTGAGTGGCTATAAAGGAGGAAGAGAGAACCGAAGTGGATTTGAATGATGGCCACGTGGGACTAACTGAAGGGCGGAGAGATAAATGGCTCTGCGAGCCTCCCCTGTCTGGTCTCTTGTTCTCTGATGGTCAGACCAGTGTGCGGCTGCCTTAGCTGGTTCTCTGCCTCAGCTGGCAAGGCTCACTTCCTGCAAGACATCCCTGAGGAGAAGCCACGCGGACTTACCCTGATGCAGCCCTGGGTGCTGGAGAAGCCAAGTGCAGGCCCCAGCCAGCACTGAGAGGCTTACACACTCACCGATTCGGCTTTCCTCCTGCAGTCGGCATCGTTGTGTATCTTTTGAGTTTGAGGAGGACTTTCTAGTTCAATGTCGGCCATATGGGCTCATGTCAGACTTATGGGCCTGGACTGGACTGGGTTGGGATGCTTAATGTACAATTACCCTTTATATGAAACTCTCATAAAATATGAGTGTTTATGAATGTTGTTTTTTCAGTCTACCTAGATTAACACAACTTGGATTCTTTCCTGACATACAAACTCCTTTCAAAAATTAAAAGAACATGAGCTCAGGATTAGAAGAAGGTTTGTTAACATCCTGAAATATGCAGCTGACACTGCCTTGCTTGCTGAAAGGAGTTAAAGCACTGCTGATGAAGAATAAGGGCCGCAAACTTCAGTATGGATTACACACAATCAATGTAAAGGAAATCAACATTCTTGCAACTGGACCAATAGCTAACATCATGACAAACAGAGAAAAGATTGAAGTTGTCAAGGACTTTATTTTACTTGGATCCAAAATTCATGCCCATGGAAACAGCAGTCCAGAACTCAAATGATGGTAAATCTGTTGCATAACCCAAAGCCAACACAACCTCACTACCATGGAGTGGATTCTGACTCATCGTGTTCCTCAGGGTAGACCTGCCCCTGAGGGTTTCTGAGATGGTAGCACTTTGCAGGAGGAGAGAGCCACGTTCATCGTTCTACCTCGGAGCAGGCTGGGAGTTTCAAACTGCTGACCGTGCTAGTGGCAGCCCAGTGTCTAACCCTGACACTACCAGCACTCCTTTCCACTGCACAAGGACCTCTTTGACATGTTGAAGAGTGTATTAGTCTAGGTACTTTGGAGAAACAAATCCACAGCAACTCATGTATAAGAGAGAGTTTTATGCAAAGAAAATGTGCATCACGAAAACATCCCAACCCAATGCTGCCCAAGCCCACAAGTCCAACATTAACCCATTAACCCAACACCAGTCCACAAAGTCCTTCACCTCACAAAACAGAGGCAATAATGCCGACCGCAGGAGGAAAGCTGAGTCAGTGAATGTGTAAGCATCTCAGCACTGGCAGGGGTCTCCACACGGCTGCTCCAGCACCCAGGGCTGCATCGGGATAGATCCATGCGGCTTCTCCTTGGGGATGTCTCGTAGGAAATCCATCTTGCAAGCTGAAGCAGGGAACTGCTAAGGCAGCTGCACCCGATGCAACCATCACAAAACAAGAGATCCGAGAACTAGAAAGGCGAGGCTTCACCACCCATTTATCCCTCCGCCTTTCAACCAGCACCACATGTGATTATCGGCCAGGCTGGCACAATTAACTAACTCAGAGAGCAAGGATGTCACTTTGAGGACTAAGGTGCGCCTGACCCAAACCATAGTATCTTCAGTCAGCCCTAAATGCTTGTGACAGTTGGACGAGGAAAGAGGAAGACTGAGAAAGAACGAAGGCCTTTCAGTCATGGCGTTGGCAAGCATGCTGAATAGACCACAGACGGCCAGAAGAACAAACAAATCTGTCTTGGGAGATGCTCCTTAGAAACAAGGGTGGGGACACTTCATCTCACGTACTTTGGACACATTATCAGGAGGGAACAAGCCCTAAAAAGGGCATCGTACTCGGTAAAGTAGCAACTCAGCAAAAAAAAGGAAGATCATCAAGGAGTTGGACTGACTCGATGGCTTCAACAAGGAACTCAAACCTAGCAATTGTTTGGAGGATGCCATAGGACCGGGCAATGTTTCCCTGTTGTTGCTCACAAGGTCGCTGTGAGGCAGAAATGACTAACCACAGGAAACTAACACAGCCTCCCCTTCAGCCGTGGTTGGCCCAGGTGAGGTGGAGCCACAGATTAGTCAGAACAAAGCGGTTATGATCTAAACGTGTACTATCTAACATGTCTGGGCATTCCACGTAAAATCATTAGAAAGACTGATCCTGCAATCTCTAGTCAGTCTGGCTTCTCTCCACTTTTCAACATCTTCTATTTCTTTCGTAACACATAACCAGGACTTGTCCCTGTCATTATGGAAAAGACTAGAGAAAACTACTCTATCTTCTCTCAAAACAAAACTCAAGTTAAATCAATAATAGAAATCAATTGAAGTTTATTTAATGTATGATATACAAATAAGGGGAACATTTTTACTACAAAGCCAACCCACTGTCATGGAGGCAAATCCAACTCATAGGCATTTCCACAAGTCCACAAGCACCCCACCTTGTGTGAGCCAACGATTGCCAATAACACAATCCAACTCTAAAGGAGGGAATGGCATCAGAACTTAAATGTTGAACACCTAGTTTGCAGAAGGCTGTGGATGACAGTGGAAACATGGCTTTAGCCTCTGGCGAATGCCCCTGATCATAGTTGAGGGGTGTGAATGGCCGTGTTACCAAACAGAGAGCATTATAAAGTTGACTGTGGCAGACATAGTTTGATCAAAATGTAATATCTTATTATGCTAGCTCCCTTTAGACCAATTTTAAAGATGCTTCAAGGGGAGAGAGGGTGGTGGTTATTTTTAAAGGGGAGGGGAAATACACATGATCAAGCCCCTGTTGAGTCCCCTCTGACCACGACCTTGGATGTGAAAAGCCTTGCAGACACAGAGAACGCATTGGAAAGTGGGTTTTTGCAGCTGCAGTTAGGTTCAAATATTTAGCACCCTATCATTTTATCTTCCTTATGAGCCATTTAAATTTGTTCTAGTTTTTAATATTTCCTGCCCTCTTGTTGATTGAGGTTTTAATTTATTTTACTTTGTTATTCTTGTTACGTGTTTGTTTTTAATGTTTTTCTGTATATGAAATTCAGGATAGGTAAATCTATAGAGACAGTACCTGGATTCATGGTTCCTTGGGGGTGTGGCTGGGGAGGTTGTGGGGAAATGGGAAGCTAACAATGATGAGGACAAGAATGAAGAAAATTTTCTAAAATTGATCGTGGTGACGATTGTACAACTCTTCTTGATGTGATTGAACTATTGAATTGTATGAAATGTGAAATATATGCTAATAAAACTGTTGGGGGTTTGGAATCCAACTCATAGTGACCCCACAGGTGAAAGTTGAGCTGCCCTGTAGGGTTTCCAAGGGTATAAGTCTTGGCAGGAAGAGATGGCCTCTTCTTTCTCCCAGGGTGTGGCTGGTGGGTTCAAACTGCCCACCACTGCACCACCCAGGATCCTTAACCTTTCAACTAGAGAGCCAAAAATGTTCCAAAGATAAGAGAACTTCTGAAGAGTTTTATACCACATCTGATCAAACCTTCTTAGTGTACATACTCAAGTATAAGCCGAGTTTTTCGGCACATTTTTATTGCAGTTTTTGTGGTAAAATTAGGTGCCTCGGCTGATATTCGGGTCGGCTTATACTCAAGTGTGTACGGTAATTTGTTTGAAATATTGAATTGCATGATAAGTTGCTACATCTCAATACAACTTTGTTTTTGGTGAAGTCCAATGCTCAAGGTCTAGGTCAAACAGTCTAGATTCTCCTTTGACTTAAAGGTAATTTTAGGAAATATGTTTCTGTAAGGCCAAATGTGCCTTACCGTCAAGGGCCTGGGTGAGGCACGGAGCCAAGAAACCTGGCTTCCAAGAAAGGGAAACCCAGTCCTCACCACCTAGAAGCGGAAGTCCCAAGGTAGCTTTATTCTGCATGTCTACTGACTGTCAAAGTTTTGATTCAATGATGATTTTATATCTGGTTCTTTTATCTAGCTAAAACCCAAGAAATATCTGAAAACTAAGAAGGAAAGGAATTCTACTATAGCAGGTTATAAACATGCCAGAGACGGACACAAGGTAAATCTTATTGGCTGTTATCTTTTCTCTCAAAAAGGAAAGGTAAGTTATTTCCTTTTACACTTTTTTTTAAGCAGTCTTCCCAGTGTTGTCCCCTGCCTCCATTTGTTCCCACCCTCCCTTTTATCATATGTTGCCTTCCCTGCACCCAAGTTCTCAGGAGGGAGGAGGCTTCTGCTCCTGTAAAGGAGCTCAGTCTCGGACCCCCAGGGCCAGCTCTACCCTGTCCTGCAGGGGCACCCTGAGTCAGAGTGGCCTCGGTGGCAGTGCATTTGGTTTCAGTTCCCTCAAGCTCACGTGCCTACCCTCTGTCATCTTCGTGATTAAAAGTGTGTCCATTTTACTTACTGTTTCTAAAACTACGAAAGAACCTTGAGCTCGGCTCCTAAAATGGGGGCGTTACTCAGAGAGTAGAACATCGAGTCCCCCACCCCCAGCTCTGGAGCCCAGGCTTGGAGATTTTGCCTTGGCATGGAGAGAAAGCAGGCCATTCAACAGATAATCTCCTTCCCAAGGACATAACACTCTTGCAACAAAAGGCGCCCAAGGACATAACACTCTTGCAACAAAAGGCAGTATTGTTCAAAGGCCAGGGTCGTCTCCAAGGCAGTGGCTGTTGTGTTGAGAAACAACTGGGAGAAGGTTGGGAGGTTTCATTGAACACATAGACTAAGCTGTGGGTGATTTCATTTGCCAAGAAAATGAAGAAGGGCCGTTGGAAAGAGCCCATCTAGGGTCAGACGAAATCTCAAACACTAACCTCAGGGACTGTCTTTTTCAAATGAGTATTCGTTTCAATGGGCTCCTCAGTACAGCATGCTATGCCCCAGAGCACTGTTGGAAGCAGCAGATCAGTGGAACCCAGTCGACCTGAGTATAGGTCGTTCTACATCTCCAATAAAAATGTGTGAGTGACTCAGTTTCTCTTTATCCTTAACAGTATTTAATGCTAATATATATTAATATTTAATGCTACTAATATTTAATGCTAATATAATATATACGCACACACACATACACCCCATATATACTTGTGCATCAGCTGAGTTTTTCAGCACATTTTTAATGCAGCTTTTGTGGTAAAATTAGGTGCCTCGGCTGATATCCGGTTGGCTTAGACTCGAGTACATACGGTATCTAGCTATTCCAGCAGATGTGTGTTAGTAGCTCCTTGTACTTTCCATTTGAAACTCCCCAGTGGCTAAGCATGTCGGACAGATCCCTGTGTGCTTGTTTTCCATATGTAGGGGTCTGTTTACATATGCTATAATATTTTAACTGGGGTAAATGATACTTTGATCTCAGCAGGAAAAAAAAACATATTTCAGCCTTTCCAGAAGAAATTTGAAATACAAATTTTTATCCAATAAAACGGTGGGCCTCACTGCCCTTCAGAACCAACTCCAACACCAGCCCCATTGCATCAAGTCGACTCCGATTCATGATGACCCTTTGGGATCATGTAAAACTGAGCCACAGGGTTTCCACAGGTGTAATCTTTACCAGGACAACCTGCCACACCTTTCTCCTACCCCCCCTCCCCCCATCGCACACGCCCTACTACTGCCTCTTACTACTTCCTCTCAGCTAGATTGCTGTTGCTCCAATACCCCCAGGGTGTCTCTTTCCCCCTTGTTGTGGATTTTAATTATCTAGTTGTTCTCCTGTCTATGGCATTGTTTGCTCACTGCACCCTTCCCCGCCACCTTCTCCCCCCACCCCGCTACACACATTTTAAGTGAAACATTCATTGTATGTTTTTTAATGTTCCTTTATGATTCAATTGAGGGTATACGTTCATGAGGAGTATTACATGGGTGATATTAAATCCTGCAGACACAATCTCACTTGATCACCTCGGCAGCAGGTTAGTCAACTTCTCCCCTGTAGAACTACTAAGATTTCCTGTTCCCTGTGGATAATAAACAGTCTCTAGAGAGAAACAGAAAGACCAGGCAAATATTCTGCTCCTCATCAAAAAGTCGCCTGGCATACAGTCGCCTTGCCTTATCATCATGGCTTCCATAGGATGGTGTCCACTCAACCACACCCCACATTCTCTCACTGCAGGCAGAAGCCCACCGGCTCCTCCTTTTCTTTCTTTATTAATGGACCTTAAATTGGCCTATTAAATTCTTACTCTCTGAACAATTTCTTCTCTCAGCTGCTTGCTTGTTAGACATCAGTAAAATCCTAAAATAATATTATAAAGCCATTTTGAAGTATTGTCAAACTCTTGTATTGAAAAAGATACTCTCTGTAATGGATTTTGAAGACTGGAAGCAAAAACATATAACCCTAGACTACTAAGGTTGGAATTTGGAATTCTTGAGAGAGAACGGATGTACATGTACGTGATAGCAGAGGGCTAGCAGGAACACCAGGAATTTATGAAGTCTAATTGATGGTGGTGGATTGTACAACTCTTCATGATGTGACTGAGCCGTTAGATGATTTGTGAATTATAAGCCAGTCAAACTGGTGGGGGATGGAGAATAAGCGATCAAGCCAAGGCAGAACACAAGTGAATTTTCTTCAGCCTCACTTCACGCTTTCTCCAAAGCATAGTGGTTATCTTCCACTTCCAATTTTAACTACAAGACATTCATGGGAAGATTATTCCATTATCTTCCTCTTTCATCTTTCCACGAACTTCTTTAAAAAATCATTTTATTGGGGGCTCATACAACTCTTAGCACAATCCATGAACTTGTTTGCAGCTCCCTCGGAATGCCATTTCATCTAGAATATTTCCTTTTCTCTTTCCTTTGTTTTGATTTTGACCTTCACATGAACCTCTTCGTGACGATTGTGTCCATTTACTTTGCTGCCCTTCAATTATGATACAGGCAGGGGAGGAGATTTTAAGCTGTAGCTCTCTGTGTATTCTGCTACCCGTTGAAATGTTGGCAAATACATTTTCAATTATTTTCCCGTCTCTCAGGCCCTTGATGAGAGTTCTTTATAGAATCCATACATGAGTGATGCAGAAACTAAAGTCTGAACTCATTTCAAATGTTTTCACAGACACGTAGCCATGTGCACTCTGCACAATTAGCCACTGCGCCTCTCTAGTATCATGTGTCTGCTAGTCCCACTGGACCATGTTGGAAAGCAATGATACATGTGTATATTTTTTCTTTCTCTAGCCTCCTCGAGAGAAAATCAGATTTTATCCTTTTTATCATAAGCACAGTTGTATACTCTACTTAGGTATTTGTGTGTGATTTTGTATGCCTCACCAATTTTACAGTCTTCTTACATCCTTACTCTTATCACATAAATACGTGAAATTGTAAGCATTCATTTTTGTGTCCTCCTGACCGCCACTATGCTCTGGCAGACGGGAAGAATTCCACCAGCGGTAAAACGTATTGAGACCTTCCTCCACTCATTGCTGCAGAAGGAAAGACGTGTCGCAAAAGATGCTAGAAGGCTCTGATTTAGATGATGTTTTTGGTCGTTTTCAATCCACGAGGATAAAGTGAAACCACTTTTGTTGACAACTCAAGATAGCATAAGTCATATTGGACAGAGTCTCCATTTTCACATATATTTATAGTTTTTGTTAAACGATCATTTGCGTGGGGGCTCTTACAGCATTCCTAGCAATCCCTGCGTCCATTGTAGCAAGCCTATCTGTGCCTGGGTTGCATCACGTCTTCACTTTGAATAACAAGATTGTTGCCCTTCTGGTTCTGTGCCCCGTTAGGGTTGCAGTAGAGGACACTTACCGCCGAGCCACAACGACTCAAACACCAACTTGATAGGTAAGCTCTGCCTCTTGTGTCTCATGGATGATTCATCCACTCCCGGAACACTGCGTGTGCCAGAAAATCAGGATCGCCACTGTGCGTGGGGCCCCGGGAGATTAAGAAGTGGAAGCTACCATTTCTGCTCACCTTTCAGTCGAGAGAGAAACACAAGTGAACAAGCGAAGTGTTGCCAGACAGATGCAGGGCCACCCAGAAAGGGGAGACCTCCCAAAAGTGTGTTTTCCTAGGGAATTTCTGAAGCTCTCTCCTACGTGGGAGCGTTGGGGGTGATAGGTGTATTTGAGGGAATGTCTGCCATTTGGGAGGTTCCCCCTGAGGAGACTGTATGGGATCGAAGCTTGGAAGTCCATCTTGTTCCTCATCCTTTCACAACTCAATGGGGGATGGGCTCCGTAGAGGAGGTACATTCTAGGCACTTGGTCCTTGGGACACACGTCCAGTTTAATATTAATCTGTAACTTACTCCCCAGGATCAGTGGTTTCTCATCTTCATTCATATCTCATCCTCTTCCGTTGCGGTCTTTTGAAAGAATTGAGGCAATTGAAGCCATAATTCTCTTTACCTGTTCCTAAGTGATGGCAAGGTATTCCATTAGGTTATTGAAGCTCCGTGTTTTGCCATCAGCCACCGTTAAGCCTTCTTTTTTTTTTCCTTTAGGCCTTCGTTTTGTTTCCATTTTTTTTCTACTGTAAACAAGAATGAAGAACCTTACAACTCCCCGTGTGTCTTTTTCATTGTTTCTTTAGAATAAATTCCTAGAAAGGGAATTGCTGGCCCAAAGGCATGTGCATTTCTAAGACTTATACTATTAATAATCCAAATGTATCCAAAATTCATAAGATTTGTGGACTGTTTTTTTTTTGTTTTGCTTTGTCAGCTAAATAATTATTTCTACCATTTTATAGCATTTTTAATTTAGAAAAATATGACAGTAGTCAATTCATCCTTCTCATGGTATTAATGATCTCCTAACATCTTCTGTAGAGACAGGGTCAAATGGAACAGACGGCTATCTACTGGAGTATTTGAGAAGGCAACTCCTTGGCCAAGGTTCGGGTGAGTAAGACAGGCATCTAGGCTATCGTGGTGAGTGGTCACCTACCAGCTGGATAGGAACTATTAATACATGCAGCTGATAAACATTGACATGGGAAGCACTGAGAGATTATCTTCCAATCAGATAGCTTCCCCCAAAGTCTGAACCTCAATTTTTTTATTTTCTTCTGGAACTCCAGAAATGCACGGAGGAAACCGGGAGAAATTCTTTGGAGGTCAGTTAGCTTCTTCCTTGCCATTTGAGCCAGGAATCACCATCTCACTTCCTGTTCTTCCCATTCCCATCTCAGCGAATCCGAGAGCAGCGCGCTCACCTCAGCACCCGCAGGGTACGCAGTTCATCCTCACCCAGCCCTCGATGGACGACATTCGAGGACAAGTTGTTCCTGTGGGCCACAGAGCCCACTCCAAAGCACGGTGGCCCCATAGCACAGGGTGGACTGCTGTGTGGAGTTTTCTAGTCATTGTATGACTCCTTCAAGGACAAGGCCTTTATGAAGTGATGATGGAGTTCATCCTGTTGATAGAATTCTTCTAACGTTGACTTGAAAACGTGAATCCTTGTAAGTCACCCAGCTGCCTTCATCTGCCCTGGCTCGTCACACAAAATAAAGCCATTAGGGACCATAAAGGAAACCATTCTGACAGAGAATAATGAGGACCATTGTCTAAAGCCTTTTCTAGGCAACCAATCCAAAATGTTTTCAAAGTCTTACTTAGCTTTCAGAAATGTTTGTTCCTCGTGTGACATGACTAAGTCTGTGTACCACCTTAGTCCACGTCTCTGTCACTCCTGTGGTGTCCTGGTGGCGCACTGGGCTAAGCAAGATCAGTAGTCTGAACCCACCAGCTGCTCCACAAGGGAAACTCAGATCCATATAAAGAAAAGAAGACTCGGAGAAAAGGAATACATTAAATTAGATTTTATTTTTCTTATTCTTAATTTATCTGAAAGATGACTTTGGGAAGCGACAGAAGTACTCCTCTACTGGGCTATGATGGAAAGCACAAAGGTAAATCTCTCCAACTGGGAGTGAGTCAATGCTTTCTGAAATGTGACATCAGACGAATAGGTAACGAGAGGTCAAAGTGGACAAATGGAACTTCATCTGAGTTAAACCTGTTTGTGCTATGTAATAAATGCCATCAAGAAAAGTGGAAATACAAGCCACAGAGTAGAAAAATAAAACGCAAGTCTGATCGGAGACTTATATTTAGAATATAAAAAGAACTCTTTAGGGTCAATAATAAAAAAATAAAGAACGAAACCACATTGGATCTCAATAGATATTTCACCAAAGAAGATATACAGATGGACAAGACACTCCGTGTCATTAGCCATTAGCCCAAGCACTGCCATCTAATCAATTCCGACTTACAGCGACTATAATTAAGGTTCCCAAGACACTAAATCTTTTAAAAAGCAGTTTTATTGGCATTTAAATCCACATATCACACAATTCAATAGCTCAATCTCCCATCAAGAAGAGAGAGACACTAACACTTTACGGAATCAGACAGGCAAGGATTCGTAGCTGCTGGGTTGAACCATCAACCTTGTGGTTAGCGAGCGGCCCAACACTTCTCCCATGATACACCAGGGCTGCTCCCCAAGTCATTTAGAAAGACACTGGGATGGCTCGTATAGAAAGACAGATGAAAACAAGTGTCGACAAGGATGTGGAGCAATGGGACTCTTCCGCCAGCATTTCTGGTGGGAATGTAATATTGCGTGGCCACTTTGGAAAACACCTTGGCCATTCCTCAGGATGTTGAACATAAAGTTTTTATTAGACATTAAGCATATGAATGATGTCATTATCAAGAAAGTTAAAATTTAAGTTTTGTTGATTTTAAAACCTAACTTTCAGTTTTTTATAACACTTTCTCCTTTTTTAAGTGACAATCCCGAAACCTGTCCCTCCTTGGATCCTAAAACAATATTTGAGGTAGGCGGCCTACAATTTGATTTCTTCACCCCAACTACCGTGTTCCCTCATAAGAATATCTTTGTGTATGAGATTTTTCATTAAAGCAACAGTTAAAATTAACTTTTTGATAACAATTGCTAACCTACTCTCTCCTTTCATTCTATACAGTGTCTGTAATGAGGTCAGTTGTAAACAAGGGAGTGCTCATATGATGCATTTTGAAGGATTCTGAGGTTCTCAGACCACCAAACTAGCCCCAACGGATGCCGATAGTTGATAGTTTATTTTTTATGTATCGATCATGCATGGTTTGGGTTTCTTCATCCAAAGAAATGCAACTGGTGCCAGATAACTAGTTAACGAGTTGGGATGAAGGACTAGGTTTTTACTAGGTTTTAGAGCCTGGATCAGTACGTATAAAATTATACCTAAAACTAGAAAAGGAAGTCCCCCCAAACCCAAAGTCAACCCCACAGCTATCAGTCGACTCCGACTCCCAGTGACCCGTAAGGCAGAGAAGAGCTGTGTGCCTCTGGGGCAATGAATCTTGATGGGAGCAGATCTATCGCCCATGGGGCAGCTGGTAGAGTTGAACTGCTGACCCTATGGCTAACAGTCCAACCTGGAACACGCTCCTCCCCCGGAGCCCGCACATTTATTCCCCTGTCCTGAGGACCGGGCACCCGAACAACCACCCACACAGTGGATTCAGGGCTGGTGGTAGGTGCTTCCCGCTCGGCCCTGACTCGTGACAACCTTCTGGGTCCCAGAACCCCAGTTGTCTGCTCCTGCAGGCCCTCCGTGAAACGATATGTTTGGGCTACTCTTGTGCCGGTCCATGCCCTTGAGAGCTCCCTCATTGTCCATTGCCATGGCAGCTGGGAAATGACTGGATTTACACAACAGAAGGAGAAAGGTATATACCCCTTACTCTTTCCCTAGCCTCCCCACTTAAAAAGCCTTTAGTTGTTGCTAAAATGGGTTCTGATGAAAGATAAACTCTCCTGCCCTGGAAACATGAGAAATCAGGTAAGAGGCCAATACGTGGGGCATCTTGGGCAGCCCAGCACTTGACTCTAGAACCAGTTAATTAAACTAAGAATTATATTTAACAATATTTATTTATCATCTCCTACAGAGAAAAAAAACCAAAGGACACATCCAGACAAAAGAATGGAATGGAAACAAAGATGTAAATTCTAGGCCCGTCATTTCCTCTTGTTAGCTAGGTGATTTTGAGCAAATCACTTACACTGTGTACTTCCCCCCATTTATCCTATGGGGATCCTATTAGCCATCCTGCCTGGAGCACAGGACAGATGAGAGTCCCAAGTCGGCTGATATATGGGAGAGACATTGCATACTATGAAATACAAATAAAACATGGCATTGCAAGACTTGAATGGGTAATTCACGTTTGCAATTAAGAGTACCCAATTTCTTTCAGCTCCCAAAGTCTGATTCAGAGCCTTAACAAAAGCCAGCACAAATATGTTCTCAAAACTAAGGAGGCACCGGTCCAAAACACAGTGGCGTCCCAAGGACTGGATCTGTATGGGACCTGCTGCAAAGTGACATCCCTGAAGTGTCCTGTCAGCAGAAAAACGCCCACGTGGATTGAAAAGACCAAGATGCACGCAGAAGGTTTTTCTTCCATTTTGTTAATTTAAAATGTTTATTTTTATTTTCTAAGGTTTTCATTCATTTTTAAATTTAAAATGTTTATTTTTATTTTTCAGATTTTAAGATTTTTTCTTCATTTTTAAATTTTTATTTTTATTTTTCAATTTTTTAAGACTTTTTTTTCGTTTTTAAATTTTAAATTTTTTGGTTGAATTTTTAAGGTTTTTCTTTTATTTAAAAATTGTACATTTTGTACCAAGAGAGAAGGATTTGATATTATTGATTGTCTGAGGGTTGAATAAATCATACTACATTTGCCTTTATAAACAGGGAGGACTGATTGCCACTTGATTCATAACTCTGAAATATGCTTTAACCTCATGAGGGGTTGGCTCTGGAAGAAATCGATCCTAGTTTAATACAGCTGTGAAAGACGTCCATTAATTACCTTATTCCTAATACCTGCCTGTTATCCTCACACCATCGCCCCAAAGGAAGCCAAGGACGGTGCTGTGTCTGAGTCCATGGATGCCGCCATTAGTCAGTCCATCTCACTCTTACTTCTTGACCCTTCCATGTGACCCTCTGCAAGCGGGCTGTCTTGCTCCCAGGACTGGTCTTTCCTGATGATGTCGCCAACGTGGGTGAGATACATGCTTGCTGTATTTGCTTCTAAGGCACGTTCTGGTTGTACTCTGCCTCCCAAACTCATTTGTCCATTCTTCTGGCGGCCCATACTGAATTCCATACTCTCCCCCAAGCCCACCATTTGAACGCACTGACTGTCCTACGACCTCCACTGGGCAGCTTTCACGTGCAGCTCAAAAATAGCTGGTGTCAGGAATCCCTTCATCATAAAAGTGACATCGTTGCTTTCTAAGGTTTCAACGCGGTCTTTTGCAACAGCCTTTCTTCCTTTCCAATTCGTGATTTGATTTCTTGGCGCCGGCTTCCATGGGCAAGTAGAATGAAACCCTTGACCACTTCTGTTTCTTCACGCATTCCCACGACATTGCTTAGGGGCTCCTGGTGGAGATGCTCGTGTTCTTCCCTACTAACGGCTGTAGCTTGGGCACATAAAGCGGCGCCACACCTGTAGCTGAGGCCGTTCATGAGTTGTCCTCACATCCTGCTACCACATTCCTCTTCACAGAGCTTCCTGAATGATTTGCTCAGCACCCAGATGACTTAAGTGTGTGTGGTGGAAGGATAAAACCCGACTACACACCTTTTCCAATTTTAGATCATCTCGTGTCCCTTCATCTGTTTGAACAACTGCCACTTACTCCAATCATCAGGTTCCTCGGGAGCACAGCGGCGTGGTCTGAAATTCTCATTCTTCATAAGGTTCCGCATAATTTGTTATCATCCAGTTGAATACCTTTATGTAGCCAGTAAAACACAGGGAAATCACTTTCTGGAATGCTCTGCCTTTCAGCAAGACCTGTGTGACACCAGCCGTATTCCTCATTCCAAGTCCTCCACAAACCCAGCTAAAACTCCTGCCATGTTCTCCCTACGCTCTGCTGTAGCTCTTTTTGAATAATCTCCAGCAAGATTTTGCCAACATTCAAGAACAAGGATCCTGTGCAATAATGTTCACATTCCCTGCATCATCTTTCTTTGGAATGGGCACAAAAGTGGACCTTTTCCAGTCCGTGGGTCAAATAGCTATCTTGTCAATTTCTTGACGTAGGGGAGTAAGTACTTTCACTGGGACATCCATTTGTTGAATTTTTTCAACCAGCATTCCATCAGCTGCTG